TAATATAGTATCTAAAATCCTAGGCTCAATAATACTGCGTAGATTAAGTGGTGCTCGGGAGACACAAACACGAGAAAACCAGACAGGTTTTAGGCCAGGTAGAGGGTGTATTGATCATATCTTCACCCTTCGACAGATTCTAGAACATAGGCATTCCTACCGGCGTCCGACAATCATTATATTTCTTGACCTAAAGGCGGCATTCGATTCTGTCGACCGGGAGGTTCTCTGGCGATGCTTGGCTGTAAAGGGAATGCCAAGAAAATACATTGCACTGATTAAGGCACTCTACTCGTACTCATGCAGCCAGGTGAGGGCTTATGGCGAGTTGTCATCTGAAGTGGTGACGACTAGTGGCGTCCGTCAAGGATGCCCATTATCCCCATTCCTATTCAATTTCATCATAGATGTACTAATGGACTTAACCCTAACTCACTTCAGCGACTCAGGGATTGACTTGCTACCAGGGAAGAATCTCGTTGACTTAGAATATGCGGACGATATAGTCCTTCTAGGCGAGGACTCTGACAAAATGCAGAGTCTACTGAACACCCTGAGCAACAATCTCCGCATGTTTGGCATGCGATTCGCCCCTATAAAGTGTAAGATGATGCTGCAGGATTGGACTTCATCGACCCCTAGATTAGAAATAGGAAGTGAAGTGGTAGAACACGTTGACCGCTTCAATTACTTGGGAAGTACCATCAGCCCCAACGGGTTGATCTCCGACGAAATTTCAGCACGAATACAGAGGGCTAGGTTCGCATTCGCCAGTTTTCGCCGTCTCTGGCGTAGACGCGATATCCGACTATCAACCAAAGGGCGTGTGTACTGCTCAACAGTCCGCTCCGTCCTCCTTTATGGCTGTGAGACCTGGCCATTGAGAGCAGAAGACATGAAAAGATTAGCTGTCTTCGATCATAGGTGTCTGCGTTCTATCTCCCGCGTGAAGTGGTATAATAAGGTGAGCAATATTGAGGTTAGGCGTCGAGTGCTAGGTAAGGCGGGGAAATCAATTGACGAGACTGTGAAATTACTTCGACTGAGATGGTTAGGACATGTGCTACGTATGCCTAGTCATCGCCTTCCTCGACGGGCAATGTTAGCTGATATAGGGTCAGGCTGGAAAAGAGCTAGCGGCGGTCAAACCAAAACATGGCACCAATCAATGAAATCCACAACAGTTAATCTAAGCCACGTAGGAAGATGTAGACTTCCTGGTTGGGGCCCTCGGGATGGTAAAAACCAATGGTTGGAAACAATTGGTGACATGGCTCAAAATCGTTCTCAGTGGCGCAGATGCATCCACTCCTTGTGACTTATGATTTCCAATTAAACTTTTGTTCTCCGTTATTACTATTCCTTTGTCTCACACTTCTGTTTACTGTCTATATTATGCATTTCTTCTCTTGCTTTGCGTGCTACATAGACTGTGGCGACTTGAACTGCCGCACATATGTGCAAAGTTCTATGTCGAAAACCGACCGACCGATCACCTTCAATAACCAACCTTGAATCAGGGTTATGCGATGAAATAATTGTAAAACAGTCATTAATAATATTGATTTTGTGACCTGACATTAATAAGTGTTTTGTAATGGATGATGCTGGTGGATTTCTATTCAGATTAATAATTGCATTGGGATTTTCTGTGTATTTTATTAACCATTTTGGAGCATGTTCTTTTCGACCGCGACATTGGAACATTCTATTGACCATCAGATAAATTAAGGAAAGTAACATGCAGAATTTATGGATTTAAGGATTCGATAGCTGGCTAGGATAGAAATAGTGGCTAGATTTGTTTCTTTTGCACTCAGAGCTTTGGCTGTTTTAAGCCAGTTACACTGGCCTCTGCTGTTTGGAGTTTTCGGTATCTAATAATAATAATAATCTGCTTTATTCCAAAAACGGTACTTATAATACAGAATGGAATTCTCAGCATTTGTCACAATATTTCATCTGATTTACTCAAAATGTAATTAAAAATTAAAACTAAATTAACCGGAGGTATTTGTCCACATTTACGATATAAAGTCAAAAATATTCGAAGCAGGAATTGAGAATATTAAATATAATAATAATAACAGTGAGTTTGTTTCAAAGGTATTGTCGATTCAGTTTGGAAATTTTAGCATGTTATAGCTTATTGGATCTAATGTTCTGTTGATATAGTATAGTGAGGGGAAATACAAAATTAACAGTTATAATACAGCTTAAATTATGTTCACACTTGTGAAAAAAATAAACAAATAAAAACAAAGAATTGAGAGGATTATAAATATAAGAAATACAATAACAATAAAGTTTGGTGCTTTAAGTGTGGAGGAAATGGTTTATTTAGTGGTGCAGAGAAGGTCAGTTAGTTCATGCCTGACACTATTTTCATCACATAAAGTACGTGCCAAATATGGTATGGGGGAATTTTTATACTTAGACGTACATGCATAAATTCCTCTGAAAAGACTTCTTGTTTTACCTAAGGAGACACAAGGTTTAGAGACCTTTATTAATTTATTTGATACCTGGTAAATGATAGATAAAGACTTGTTTGGACGACGTGATTCAATATAGAACTGTTGTCGTTTTTAACAACACTTATTTGATCACACCTGTAGGCATTCCTAGAGAAGCAATTATGTAGAAGAAAATTGAGATATATGGGACACACACTGAGGAGACCGCCGAATGATATCGCGCATCAGGCCTTAGAGTAAAACTTGACGGGCGGGGGGACGACGAGTGGGTCATCCAAGGGTGACATGGGAAAGATCATGAGGCTAGAAAGAGGTATGAGATTACGGGGAATCGTTGGGCCAGCTAAAGGGGGACTACGAAGAATAGCACAAAGTGGAGATATGGTGTTGAGGCCCTATGTTCCACTCGGAACCCAAGGGTACAATAATAATAAATAGAGCAACAGCCAATATAGCTGCCTACAGAGAGGGACAGTTGAATTGATAGATACAATTAGAGGTGGATAACCTAGATACTTCATCTTTCAGTATCGGAATCACAACAGATTGTGTGAAAAATGTAAGCTGTAGCTTTCGGGCATGAAATGTCCTTTGGAACGATTTTCTCAACTTGTTGGTTATTGTTTCACTTAGTATATCACTTTTGAATTGTAATAGTGTATATATAGAGGCATTTTGTTAACAGATACTTAGGAATTCTTTTCTACTTTTTTGGTCTTGTCTTTCGTAACAAACTTTTTAGGGTAGCTGTTTTCAATTAACAGGTATTATATAACCTTTTGTACGTCTTTGATTGTATCTTTTGAAGAAATAGCTCTGGCCATATAGATGAGGGTCTTTACCGAATTTATTTTATGCCTGAGAGGAACAGACCTGTGAAAATGCGTATATTAAAAGGTCCAAGTAACCAATGGGGTCTTCTTGTCAATAGGACGTCTTAAAAGGAAATTTCAGTTTGAAATTACCCTTCAAAGGTGTATGTGGTAGCTAAATGCACTTCGTTGGACTGAGAAATTTTTGAGTTCCCGTCCAACTCATTTTCACAAAGAATGATTTTGATGTGGTTGTGTACTCTGAGCTAGCTGGATGGTTTATTTGCGAAGCTTTCATCGCCGGTCCTACTAGGCAACATCTTCAGCGAGTACTTCAGTTCGAATTGAAGTGATCTTTTAGATTTCTCCACGAGTTTATTAATCATCTCTCCTGGTCAACTTAAACGTCGTGACTGGTTGTTTTTGTGTGTTTTCACACCTTCTAGGTTACTTGTATTGTCACTCATTGCTTCTTTGACTTGAACTTTGACCCTTTGTGTGTGAGGTTCCTTTTATATCGGTTGATAAATTTTGTCTATCTCGATGTGTTTGTTGATTGATGATCCACTGGAATATCAGACAGGCTTCTAAAAATTCTTTAGCATTCTTGGTGTTTCCTCTGTCTAATATTTGAACGTTGATTGTCTCAGTCGAATTGATGTCCGTGGTTGTCTGTATGTAGTGTCGCGATATGAGGGAATGGATGTCATGTCTTTTGACGACTATCTTATGATCATGGATACGAAGACGAAGGAGACGTCCACTTTGGCCAATGTAGTGTTTTTCGCAGTTGTTACTATGTATTTTGTAGATGGTGTTGATTTTATCTTCTTTCGCTCTTGAGTCTTTTGGTTGACATAGAGCCAGCCGAGTGAAGTGATTTTGTTGGTTTGTGTACGACGTCAGTTCCTAAAGGTTTGAAGAGTCTTGCGGTGATTTCTGAGACGATTTTCCTTGTGCCTTCCTTAGGGGCCTTTGGTTTGATAGGTTGGCTTGGGGGTATATGTCTTTTGATGAAATTCCGTGGATATCCATTCTTTTGGAAGACGTCCATGAGATATCTTTTTTCAATTTTCCTTAAGGTGGAAGTGCTGCAATAAGACCTGGCCCTCTTGACTAGTGTTTGTATGCAATTCCTTTTGTGTTTTATTGGACTGTTGCTGTTGTAATTCAGTATTTGATCTGTGTGACTTGATTTTCTATAAACTCCATTTTCAAATTCGCCTGTGATTGTTCGCTTGACTAAGGTGTCCAAAAATGGGATTTTTTTCTCGGATTCCTCTTCTCTTGTGAATTTGATGTCGTTGAAGATGTTGTTTATTAAGTTGTCAGTTTTATTCAAGAGGGCCAGGACTCACTGCAGCATTCCCACCTTAAGGAGAACTTAAGAAAGATATCTCATAGCTCTTAATGTGGTTGTTTTCTCTGAGCTGCCTTACTAGGCTACAAATCTCCATTATATCTAAACTCAAAGCTCATTACACATTCTTTAAAACAGTAGTCTGACGAATACTTTAAGTTCCCAGTAGTTCGGTAGAGAAGAATGGGCTTGTTTAACTAGTGGTGCTCAACCAATAGCCTGACCAGTTTATTTATCTTACTATTTTATCGTCTTCTAGAGCGTTTTTGTTTAAAAAGTCAGTAATTGTTTTTGAAAAAACCACACTTTTATTATTGTTATTATTATTTTAATTTCCTCTATTGTTTTCAGACCAGGTGAATATGTATTAGAAATTGGCTTTGGAAAAGGCTATGGTCTTCAGCTGGCTGTTGAACGTGTAGCTCCGACAACCTGTAGCTATATGAAATCATCTAAAACAAAGTTAATCTTACAAAAATACTTTGACAGTTCATTTCTTGACTCAGAAACTTTTAAAAATGATGGATACGTTTATGGTGTTGAAATTTCAGAATATATGATGAGAAAAGCGAAATGGTAAGTCAGTAGTACAATAATTGGAGCCTTTTTCTTAAACAAACAGTTGCATCTCAGTTATATCATTTGTGTAAAATATGTCTGACGAGCAGAGCAAGAAAGATATGTATAGATGGCCACTTACAAAAAGAATTTGAATATATTCACGATTCTTTGACGGGGACAGGCTATCCAAGTAGTTTCATAAAGAAACATATGAAAACATTGGAGAGAAAACCTGAGACTCTGACTGCACATGAAAAACCTCTATTTATTAAGTTACAATTTAATGATGACTTATCAAGTGAGATTCTATTCCAAAGACTTTCAAGGAGTATACGAAGAACATTTTACGCAGCATACCTATGTTTGTCATTCTCTAGCCAACGAATAAATGGGATGCAAACGAAGGGTAGGCTTGATAGTTTTGCCACATCTATGTGCATTTATCAATTCAACTGCATCTGTGGTGACAAGCATGTTTGGCGTTCTACTAGACAGTTTAGCCAACGTGTTGTTACTGAGCATCTCCCATCATGGTTTGGCAAAGGACAAACAAAAACAATCCGTAGCTCAATTTTGTCACATTTAGTTGATAGTGGTCATGTAGTGGAGAAAACGAGAGCCTTCAATGTAATTCATCGTATCCCAAGGAATCTTTCCAGTAGACTTCTTATTCGTCTACTGCACACACACACAGCTGAGGCGATAGGCATTCAAACTATTAAACCTAAACTATGCATTCAAAAGAAGTTCGTACAGCGATTATCCCTCCCTTGTTGGCCTTTCAACACATAACCAACTAATGACTTGTTTATATTTTCAACCCCTTTCTTATCATCCCTTGATCTTGTCACATCTTCATTAAAAACGTGTCTCATTTACTTCCCTTACAATCTAACATTACTTAATCGGTTCATTTATTTTTCTTAGCCTTTATCGACTACTTGTTTATTTAATCACGCTGTTTTTCGTTATTCTTATTATCACAGATAGCCTCACTTTTTCATCCTTGTTATTGATAGCACCATTATTATTATTATCATTACTATTGTAACGACAGAAGACAAGAGTCTGGCAACAGATCGTTTATTAAGGAAATCAACAGATATTTATAGATTTTCATGTATATTATTATAGATTATTGTAAGCAAACAAATACAATCTTCTGATTGGTGGTTTCTCGCTGAACCTCAAATCTTTCATCTCTTTATGGCCGTTTCTTGAAGTTCAGATTATCTATCTGCAAATTGTATCCGCCTACGCAAACAAAGTCTGCTGTGATTGGTTGTTGAGTCAGTCAGTCTTTGTTCTTATTTTTCTCATGACCAATATTGGGGACGTAAACATTGACGTAAATTACTGTCTACCAATTTTGGCTAGTAGCCAGCTCTCACCACACTATTACTATGACTGATTGCACAAATTATATACACAATCTTATTATCCTATAGACAAAACACCGTGATTGGTTTGTGTTTGAATTTTTATTTGTTATGTCTATTAGAGTTAAACACTATGAGATCTATTTGAAAACAATATTGTTCGCTTAAAAATGTCGTTGTAAATTAATTTTGCACCTACCGTTAATTAATTATTGCTAGAGTAAAATGCTTGATCTCTGTTGACACGGTAATTCCTGGTAAGGACGCTTCGATGATATCTGAGGACTAACTTGATGTTATTTGACGGAAAGTCACTATCCATCAAGTAACATCAAATGTATTCTGGCCAATTAGTTTTTGCAAAAATGAAGGATATCGTTTTAAAACATATTAACCCCTATAAATGTCCTGGTACCGCCAAGGGTGGCTACACTTTGGTCTTCATCCTGAGATGTCGTTAGGTAACCACGCGTTCATAGCCTCTGCCAGGTAAGTCCTATGTACTGCCTTTACGTGGCAGGGACGTTCCTCACAAAAGTGAAAGGGTCTCGCACTTACTACCGGGCTCGTGAACATGCAAGTCAATCGAAGGGAATTGTAGATGGTCTCCAGAATCCGAAAGAATCGAATGGCATACGGACCTGTTTTGGTCAACGGAAACCATGGGGACGCAGCTTCAGATGCTGTCCCACTGACTTGTGGATCAAACTTCAAGCCAAAGTTGGAAACATTTATTTCCCGATACGAATTTAAAACAAGCAATAAAGGTTAATAAAGGTTAACACCCGCCAAATGAAATTTTCCCAGTGGATATATCTAATTATGTTCACAATTTATCTGATGTTTCCCTATCAAAAGAACAAGTGGAAATTCTGTCAATGGGATTCAACTTCTGTGTTCCCATGAAAAACATAAAGCAAATTGACATCGAATGCCAATTCGAAAATCTTTATGACCAACTTATGGGGCTACATACCACGTCCAACGACAGCGAAAGCTGGTTGAAAGCAAAAATGGTTGATATTGCTCACCAATTTCGAATCATGCCAACGAATCAAAAGTCGCACATCACCAAAGAACACTGGAGATCATTAAACTAGCTCCGAAGAGACAATAATCTTGTTATTCTACAAGCTGATAAAGGACAAAGCGTAGTGCTAATGAATAAGATAGATTATCTCGAAAAAATGCATCAAATTCTCTCCGATGAATCTAAATTCAAATTGGACAATCAAGCAAAAGATCAAACGTTGTCGATCGAAAAGAAAATTGTACAGCAGCTACGCCAACTATTCAAAAATAAATACATTGATGAAAACACATATAGAAATATCAAGCCGATCGGGTCACAAATCCCAAAACTATACGGGCGTGTTAAAATACACAAACCAGGAGCGTCATTAAGACCCATACTCTCGATGATAAACTCACCATACCACAAATTAGCACAGTGGTTATGTGAAATGTTGCAGCCCCTGCGGAAACGCTTCGGGAAGTATATCGTTTCTGATTCATTCCAGTTTGTCGAGCAAATCAAAGATTTCAATGTATCTGATAAACATTTAGTCTCTTTCGATGTTACCTCCCTCTTCACAAATGTGCCAGTCATTGAGACTATAGACTTCATATGTGAAGAAGCTGAAGACATACCCATTCCAACGTCGGAATTGAGGAAATTGTTACTTTTATGTACTAAAAATGTCCAATTCCAATTCGACGGGCGTTTATTCCGTCAATTTGATGGTGTCGCTATGGGAAGCCCCTTGGGACCACTTTTCGCTGACTTATTCTTGTCACGCCTAGAAACCGGTACCCTGCAACAACATATACAAGAAACGGATCTATACCTAAGATATGTTGATGACATTTTTATTGCCTGTGGAAGCAGATCAAAAGCCGAAGACATGCTGATAAAATTCAACTCATCCCATCCAAATCTCAATTTCACAGTAGAACACGAGGAAAATGATACTATCAAATTCCTAGACGTTTTTCTGGCGAAAATGAATGATGGCACAATCGAAAGATCTATATTTAGAAAGTCCTCATGGACAGGACAGTACATGCATTTCAAGAGTTTTGTTCCAATCCAGTACAAAAAGAACTTAGTCAGAACACTGTTCAATAGAGCACGAAAAATTTGTTCTGACAGTACTGTTGAGTATGAAATAAAATCCCTGAAGGATATCTTATCTAAGAGTGGATATCCTGAGAAGTTCATTAAAAAATACTCTAAAGAAATTAGCCCCTGCAAAACAATTCAAACAGTTCCGAAGAAACCTGTCTATATCAACTTGCCGTTCAAAGGAGATGATGTACAGGAAGTAGTCAAACGAAGATTCGACAAAGCCATCAAGAGAACTTATTATGCTGCAAAACTTCTTTTCCTTAACACCACTAAATGAGTGCTTCAACAATCTGGGAAAGACCAGTCGCCAATCCTCGACACTTCAAACTGCGTATATCAATTTGAGTGTGTTTGTGGAAGCAAATACATAGGTCGTACGGAAAGGAGATTGTCTACTCGCATGATGGAGCATTTTCCAAAATGGTTGAAAACAGCTGAGTTCAAAGTGCCAAAATCCTCAATAACAAAACATCTTGTGGATTACGGGCATGATATCGACGCAGTCAAGTCATTCACCATTGTCAGCAGACAAAGAAACAAGAAGACGCTTGCAATTGCAGAGGCTTGTGCAATTCGAGTATATAAACCAGATCTCTGTGTACAAAAAGAGATGGTCGTGACTCTGAATCTACCATGGTAATACGTTTTACTTATAACTCTACCTCTTATTATTATTATTTTATTATTACTATTATTATTCTCATTATTATTATTCTTGATTCATTTAAAACTATCCTTTATCAGTAGCATTATCTTAACCCACTTCAACACTATTATTATTATTGTTATATTATATTACTGTTATTATAACTATTACTATTGACATCCCTCTGGTTGCAATTCTTGTTAAATTCTCTAATGTCTAATTGTTTATCTAAGTGATGTAATTGAAGCGTAATGCAATTTATCTTAATTTTGATCTTTCATACTCTCTCTCCCCTTATCTAATTGCACATGACCTGGAAAAACATTCTTACCAGTCTTTCTGCATGACTAATTCAATGTAGTTTGTTTACTTATCAGTCCTATATCTCCCAATGTAATTTCAAAAGTATGTATATCCGTGTATGTAAAGTATTCAGTCCTATATCTCCCAATGTAACTTCAAAAGTATATATCCGTGTATGTAGAGTATTCAGCTGACGAGTTCTACCGAAATTCGATGAATTCATTAAATCCTGCTTTATTAACCTTTATTGCTTGTTCAAGCCAAAGGCTTGGTAAGCTTCGGTCTGGGAGTTCAAGTAGAGTACCGCAGCCCTTGGCCCCCCTGAATGTAACAAGTTGGCTTCTTAGTGTATAATTTAATAAATTATTACTACGTGTACAGCTTTTACTAAAAAAACAAGAAAAATAAAGTCAAATAATTAGTGAAAAATCAAAAGAAAAAATCCCACCTAGAATACAAATAAACGACGTTTCCTTTTCAGGTGATACTGGTACGCTTAATAAAGTACTTCATATGTCGTCCAGCTGATGTTATGATCTCAAATCCTACAAGTGTAAATAATAACTGGTTTTCCGGTTTTAATAAAAGCAGTGTTCTCAAGTATCTCAAATCCTTGAAACCTATTTAGTCCCTTGGTCCAAATGGTGTGCCAGCTATTATCCTCAAAAAGTGTGATGATGTTTTATGTTATCCCCCTCCCCCACTGATATTTTCAATGAATTGTCTTCCTATAACATTGTGCTTGCTTCTTAAAAAGGACATTAAAATTGTTCCTGTGTCTAAATCATCAAGTGGACCAAGTGTTAAGTTCAGATGTACTGCCATTACTATACCTTTTTTAAAAATAATGGAAAGACTGCTTTTATTTAACCTTGAACCTTCATTGAAGGCTTTTCACGACCCTAATCAATTTGCTTATAAACATAGTAGGTGTACTTTAGATGCCGCTGTCGTTATATATAATAATATTGTCTGTAGCTTACACAGAAGTGCCAAATATGTTCGGTGTGCCTCCGTAGATTACACATCTACCTTCGACACTGTACCTTGACCTCCTTTATTGATCAAGCTTGCTGCGATACAACCAGGGTGCTGGAATAATAAAATACACTGTTTACAATGGGAAATCCTCCACTGCTTCCCTAACCCTAGCTGGTGTTTCTCAGAGAGCTGTTCTTTCTCTTTACATGACTTACCTCATTTTGATGAGGCCAATTTTGTTAAGTATACCGGTGATCTGACCGTTACTTCTCAATCAGACTATTCCAAAATGAATAACTTTTTATCAGGCAAACGGTCTTAAGCTAGATCCCTCCAAATATCATGTTGTTAATGTCACTTTCAGACGCAAGTGCGATTTCCATGAACTGGTTATTTCGCCTGGTCTCACTATCATAGATGCCACTGAAGTTGAAAATAAATCAAATGTTAAATACTTTGGGACTGTGTATTTCTTCTGATCACCTTTCCTAATCTTCACACATCATGTTAGTATCCAGAAAGATATCTCGTTTAACGTTCTGCGTAAGAAAGTTGACACAACCTGGTATCATTCTGTCTTTACTGTTACCGTTTTTTGTTAATTCTTGTATTCTACCTATCCTTTTTTGCTGTTCCCCCATAACTTAACCTTTCACGGCCTACTTAAGAAAGATTTTGTTACACCTGCAGTGGGCAGTAAAACCCGTTAGTAGGGCAAGTGGTGTGTTGCTAAGCTAAACCAACTCGTTAATACTATTGTCTATAGATACATGGACTAATGCAAGAAATTAGCAAATATTATCCTTTCAGACTCCAAGCATCCTCTCTCCAGACACAAATCTCTCCTTGCTGCATCTCATCGGGTAGAACTAGAAGCAACTATAGAAGACTGTATGCTCGGACGACCAAGTACAGAAACTCTACGGTATCCTATTTAGTGTAAGACAGAAAATTACCAGCTTACTGAGGAACTCTAAGTAAACGGCCTTGTTTGTTTTTGTTCTCATTGTTACATTAGTATCGTTAATATTTTCACTTGATTCAGTTTGTATATTGATTTCTTATTGAACAGTATTAATAATGTAAATTATTATTAATGTATATGCCCTGTTTTAATTATTACCCATATGATGTGAGAAAGCTAAGTGCAATACTGTACCTGCTGGATGTAAATAATTAATAGGACCCGTTGCACAAGAGGTGGCTAGCTCTCGTGGCCCAACTGGTCTAGTGGATAACGCTTTAGCGTGTGAAACTATGGGCACTGGGTTTCGAGCCTCAGTGGTGGGAACATCATCACTCACTGACTGGGGAATGCAGGTACATCCAGATGACTAGCGAGTTCCGAATAAGACGAAATGCGCATTCTGTCTGGATTCCACTGCTACTCACCATCCATCCATCAATTAAATTCTAATTACATGCCCAGGCGTCGGTGGCATAGTGGTTAGGACGCTCGCCGACTATGCACATGGTCCGGGGTTCGATCCCCGGCCACAGACGCACTCCTTTACCTCGCTAAGCCAGAAATAATGCTGGTGAAGAGGAAAGGTTGGGCATGAGGCTAGCAACCCCATCCTGTAAAATAAACAATGCTACAGAAACTTCAAGCCACTAGCTTGAAGCCCAATGTTCCACTGGGGAACGTGAAGGAAAAAAAACATGCCCAGGCATCGTCGAAGCATCTGCACAGGAGGCCGACATGTCAACCTGAGACGGAGCACTTCGGTCCAATCAATCGACGGGAAAATCTAAAATTGAATTAAATAATCGTAAAAGAGTTACTTTAAACGAATTACAAATGTGATCAGGAAGACTATGGAGAACAAACTTAAAATAACTGTTCTTATAACTGGAAAATGAATGGGATGAATTGAATGAAGACAAAGAGAGAGGAAAAATGCACCCACACACACATTGAACAAAACAATAAAACCGAGGGCTAGTTTCTTCTGAACACACAGCTCCGGCTTTTCGATGCATATTGCGACGGTTTCTGCAGCACAAAGAAGTCGGTAACATACTGCCTTTGGTAGATTTCTGTTTGCTTTTTAAATAAATGACTTTGAATGGATCAGTGGAGATGCTGCCGGGGGGGGTGTTGATCAGATGTTCAATTATAATACTTCTGATTGAACCGGTGCCTTCTCTTTGCAGCCATGCTAGGTAACATCTTTACTGAACATCGTGTTCTCTTCTTTCTCTAATTTTCTAATGGGTATTTTTCACGATCACAATCACAAATATATGTCTGAAACGTGTAATGTATTGGCGCAACACATTTCGGACATTCTGATCACACACGTACTTGTCAAATACAGTTTTTATATAATGCAAGAAGGCATGAATAATTACAATACAGGTCAGATTGTTTACAAGTCAAGGTCACAAATAATGGGTAGGGAGACACAAAAGGTGTGGGTAAAGAACATAAAAGGAGAAAAGCAAGGCAAAGAAGGGGTTGAAAATATTATGAAGTAAATTGGTCCTTGGTTCTAAATTGGATTAACAAGGCAGATTTAAGGTGATAACAAATAACTTTTGGACAAATAAGACAGGTTTAAGTCTTTTTATGGCTAAGGCTTCAATGAATTTAAGTATGTGACCCAACCTTGTTTTATATATCGGCTTAAAGGCATTGTTGACATCAACCTTATGACCCGTCTCTATAATATGCTTCGCTTCGTTACGGAAGTGTCATCCATAGAGCTTTACCGATCCAATCAGTTCCTAAAAAGGATGTTTACATATCCTTGTCATTCAGAGGTGATCAACGAAGTCTAGTCACTAGACAAAGACTCAAGGCCGCAATTAATAGAACCTATTATGCAGCTAAATTTATCTTCATAGAGAAAACGAGAACCATGCTGTTCTGTAAACCCTCACATTATCCGAACGATAGTGTCACGTCCCACTGTGTTTATCAATTTACATGTGTGTGTGTGGAGACACGTACATAGGGAGGACCCATCGGTCTCTGCAGGTTAGGGCTACAGAACACATTCCAAAGTGACTGCAACAACAAATGAAATCGCCAGACACAATTGAACCCGGAAATAGATGTCCAACATCATCTATAGCCAAGCATCTGACAATCTGACCTGTATTGTAATTATTCATGCCTTCTTGGATTCTATAAAACTATGTATGACAAGTACCCGGGTGTGTAATCAGAATGTCCGAAATGTGTTACGCAAATACGCATTACACGTTTCAGATAAACTACGTCTTCTTATTGTGTTGTTGAAATTCATAAAGGGAACTAATTGCTTTACAAATATATATGTGTTAATAGTATTCTATTTATTATATTCATTTCAGGCGCTTATGGCCTTATATATATGTGAATCGTGTTGATCTACAATTAAGGAGTGTTGATCATCTGCCTTATCCTGCATCAACATTTGATGCATGCTTCCATGTGGATTGTTTCTATTTTTGGCCTTGTTTAATAACCTCTTTAAAGAATATTTGGCGAATTCTACGTCCTGATGGTCGACTTGTAACAACATTTCAAACAAAACACCTCTCTGATCTCTCGAAACGTGGTTGGTTCAAATATGGTAATCCTGACCCTTTAGCGTATGTGCTAGCATTAGAAAGAAGTGGATATGATAGAATTGAATGGATAAAATGTCCAACAATAGCTGTAAACTCTAAAGAATCTTATGATTGTATTATTGCTTATAAACCAATTGTACGCTTATTGAGTGCACCTCAATGTTGACAGGGTTTTGCATATCGTGCCTTTGCTGTCTTTCTTTGTATATTGCTACCTATTTTCTCTCCCCCTCTCTTCTATTTTGTTGTACAGTTTAGCCTATTTTTACAAAAGGTAAAATGTATGCGAAATATATGAGAATAAATATTAGGCTTTCTCAGTTGTCTGTTTCTTCAAGGTGTGATGTAATTAGTAATACTCAAGTCAGGAAAGGAGATGTATCTCTTCTTTTTTCGGGGACTTCACTTCAAGGCTGTACAGTTATTGTTTATATACACTGTTCATTGATGATGAAAACAATGGTCAGAGGTTATTTATTATAATTATTATTATTCCCTTGGGTTCCTAGTGCAATATAGGGCTTCAACTACATGTCGCCACTTGCTTCTGTATTCTGCTGTACTTTTCACCTGCATCCATGTTAATCCATACTGTTTCAACTCCTCTTCACACGATCTCCTCCATGTCACCCTTGGACGTCCCACTCGTCACTTCCCTTTCGGGTTTCACTCGAGCTATGGTCTGACGCGCGATGTCACCCAGCGGACTCCTCAATGAGTGTCCAATCCATCTCCACTTTCTCCTGCATATTTGTTGGGCTATTGGTTCTTGTTTTGTTTCTTCCCATAGTTTCTTGTTGGTGATTCTTTCCGGTCATCTGATCTTCAGTATAGAGCCAGCGAAGACAGTTGTTGATAAAGGTCTGCAACAGGCTGTTGGAAATATTCTTTGTGACCCGCCAAGTTTCTGATCCGTATAGAAGAAGTGACTTGACGTTTGCATTGAAAATCCGAATCATTTTGTTGTTGATGCAGGCTGAGTGACGAAGATTTGCAGATTGGTTTCAGGTTGATGAATGTGTTTTTCGCCTTTCCGATTCTCGATTTGACATCCTCGTCGGTTCCTGCTGTAGTTGAGACAATGCTCCCTAGATAAATGAATGAAGTAACCTCTTTCAAGTCCCTCCGTTGATGGTGATTGGCGCTGGATGTTGCTGTTGTTGCTGGTTGGTTATGACTTGTGTTTGATGCCACACAAAATCGAAGACTTACAAGCGAAAACCGACAAACTAGTCGAAGAAGCAGCAAAGACAGGACTCCAGGTGAACATAGACAAGACGGAGGTTATGGTCAGAGGTTATTGTCACTTAATAGCAAAGTGTTATTCAAAAGGATGGTTGCAGCGAAGAAAATTTCCTTTTCGATGAAGTCATCAATTGGGCTGTACATTTGTGTATTGATAGTAAATGCGTGGCGTGAGAATCTTCCAGAACTATTTCTGATCAAAGATCAAATTAATAAAATTAAAAAGTGTGATATAATCAGGAAGATTGGGTTGAAGAGATATAGTAAGATTACTGAAAAACTCGACTGTTAGCGTAATTATGGATTAAAGACGTAGTAACAAGAAAATAGACAGTAAGGTTGCATAAGAAAGGTAGTAAGATAATCAATATTGATATGACTGGCCTTTTTTATGATGGCTAGTGTTCCTCAGCTATGTCCAGATCCCGTGATCTCAGTCCTTTTGAGAGGTTTGATCCGATATTGTTTCTGACTTTGAAGGACTCTTCAAATGGAGCTGAATGTTCTGCATTCACAAGATTTTCTATTACCGAATTGTGTACACCCTTGCGTTTTCCCTTTGCTAACCATGCTTGATAGTGTTACAAGTGGTACGGCCATTGTACTCAGTTCTGCTCGAGCAAGTGAACTGGTATATGCATGTTGAAGTGGACCAATGCGAGAGCTTGTCTTTCACGTACTAGCTGGATAGTGTCTTGCTGGAAAGTGTTACTCATAGGCTGGCGGTGGAGTATATTTTACAGAGGGACTTCGAAAACCGTCTTCAGAGAAGTTGTGCTTCGGTATCAATTTTTAAATTCGAGAATAAATATCATCATCTATTTAGGGCCGAATTAGACCTTTCCAGGCGTTTCTTGTCCACGAATCAAAGTGTATGAGTAATAACAGTGTCTGAGAAACAGTCACTAATCTTACGTAATCGGGAAGATTGACAACTAATTAGTTATCTCAAGAACAGTTATTTGGAAATAATTTATCGGAAGCAAAAGAACAAAGGAGTGGAAATAGATTACCGACACTAAGGCCCCAGGATTAAATTTAAAATGTTGGATAAAACGTTTCTGAACACAATGTTCAAGTTTCGCCCTATGGATTGCTAAAGTTCCAGCGGCATGAAGGAAAATGAAAGCAAAATCGTTTTGAAGTACTTGATTGTACCTTTTGTATGACTCTGAATGGAAATCCGTACTGGTGCTGCGTGAGAAGAAGTCATAATGTACTCCAGAACTGAGCTGTTGACTATTCTGCATTCTCTTCTTGATAGCTATGCTGGTAAGTAAGTATTCATGGGCGCGCATCTATACGGCAATGGATAAAGGCACACACGCCTAATGGAGAGGCTGAGCACTTCAAGGTCACTAATGCATATTGTGATTGGTAGATTTTACTTTGCGTAAACAACGCGGCTAATATGTAGCACACGTTACTGAGGCGGGCTTTGAAATGATAATAATAATAAAAGTCACATAAACATTACATTTTTCAGCCTAAGGGGACAAGTTAACATATGTATAAATTTTACAGATGTGATATGCATGTGGATCCACTAACAAAAAGAATATTCAAGTGTTGGTTTGTAGGGATTTGATTGGTTACAGGATTTCCATCATGAGCTGACATTAGTTAGAGAACCATTAGAAAACCTGGGAGTACTGGACAGCTGTTTCGTCCTAGTTTGGGACTCTTCATTAGCACGCACCCACCGGGATAAGAACCCAGGACATTCCGGTTACAAGGCTAGCGAGCTCGTAGACCATTAAGCCAGTCACTGGTACCCGATCCAATGGCCCATGAATTCTAACTTCTGTCAATTCACAACATAGCGCGATCCCTAGTCAATGTTTCGGCGAGTATTTGTCCTCACACCCGACGTGCTGCACCTTGCTGGTCACGACTTCTCACTAGAACCCCAGGTGACTACCCACCTGAATAGGGCAAGTCGCTAGTGAGCATCTCATTGATATTATTATTATATTATTGGGTAACTTAATCAAAAAGGTATAACGTTTGAAGATTTAGTCTTTTTCAGTTGATTTTAACGGACGGATAGGAGAGACAGTTGTGTAATATTTGGATTTTGCAGAAGACAAACTGTGAAAGATAAATCGGAAGTTCTATGATTCTTCAAATTTATCACGGCATACTGTTCCATCCCTTGTTCACATATTCATCGTGGCTAAGATAAGGAATTGTTCACCTAAGGTGAGATTAATTCACGTTATATGTATACATTCTTAGTTATTTCTCAATACGGTCGAAGGAATACAATATCGGTCTTTGCATGGAAAGATCGTAACCATTTTCTTCTGAAGGGTCGGATGGTACTGAAAGCTGCAAAGACGGGTCCAGTGTCACTATCATCTGAGGGAAACTGACCTACATATTGTGGATAAAACGATTAGTGAACTTTAATTTGACTATGATGTAGCCATAAAAAATCTACAAATGTGATTTTCTCACTGAATTGTTATAAACTCATTTTAATGTGAATATGTACTGTTTCATACTAAGCTATTTTTAATATGGTTACAGGATTTCATCATGAGTTGACATTGCTGAAGAGTCGCAAACTAGGACGAAACAGCTGTCCAGTACTCCCTGCAGGTTTTCCAATGGTTCTCTAACTAATGTCAGCTCATGATGAAATCCTGTAACCAATCAACCAAATCCCTACAAACCAATACTTGAATATCAATGAGATGCTCACTGGCGACTGGCCCTATTCAGGTAGGTAGTCACCGGGGGTTCTAGTGAGAAGTCATGAGCAGTATGGTGCAGCAGGTCGGGAGTAAGGACAAATACTCGCCGAAGACATTGGCTAGGGGTCGCGCTATGATGTGAATTGGCAGAAGTTACAATTCATGAGCTAGCCATTGGATCGGGTCCCAGTGACTGTCTTAATGGTCTACGAGCTCACTAGCCTTGTAAGCAGAAGGTCCTGGGTTCGAACCCTGTCGTTGGATGCGTATTGCTGAAGAGTCCCAAACTAGGACGAAACAGCTGTCCAGTAGTCCTTATTGGTTTTCCAATGGTTCTCTAACCAATGTCAGCTCATGATGAAATCCTCCATCCAATCAAACAAAATTCCCTACAAAACCAATACTTGAATATTTTTAATATGTTTTACTGTTGTTCTTTTGTAAATATGTGCATTTATTTCGACTACCTGTATTTCTCTTATTTATTATTTTAAGGACATTGCATAGTTAACGAAATTGATAAGCAAGATAGTAATACTTGTGTGAAATGCGTCTTAGTTGTAGGCGGTTATTATTATTTCGTCAGTGCGTTATTAAGCCTTCGCATGAAATGTTTCAGTTACATTTTATCCGATTGCGCATAGTATAAGTAAGCATTGGTGTTAAGAAGAAAATAGCGTCAAACATGTGTTTGTATTGTAATAACGAAATTATTATTGTTTCCTTTGATTCCTAAAGGAACATAGGGCTTTAGCCGTGCGTCTCCATTGAGTTCGGTTCTCTGCCAGAGTTTTCACCTGGCTCCAAGTCTGCTCACACGTTTTCATCTCGTCTTCACATGACCTCCTCCAAGTCACCCTTGCACTGACGACCAACTCGCCGCTTCGCTTTCCGCCGGGTTCCACTCGACCAATGGCTTGTCTAGTGATGTCACTTGATGATGGTTTGTTTCCTCAGGGTATGGCCAATCCACTAACTGCATTTCTTCCTGCCTATTTGTTTCACAATCGGTTCCTGCTGTGTTGGTTCGCTCATTACCAGAGATCTTTGTTGCTGATCTTTTCTGGCCGGCCATCTGATCTTGAGTATTGAGCGAAGACAACTGTTAATGAAGGACTGTAGTTTGTTTGAGATGCTCTTTATGACGCGCTGGCCAAGTCTCTGATCCGTATAGTAGCACTGACTGACTTCACATTGCAGTTGAGAATTCGGATCTTATTTTTGGTGTTGAGTGCTGTTGACCTCCACACAGACTTGAGAGTAGTGAAAGCTTGTCTTGCTTTGATATCCTCGTCACTTCCGCCTGTAGTTGAAACGAAATACAGTTACCCTTTTATAAAGCACAATCAAAGTCGTAGACCGTTATTA